TGTTAACATAAATGAGGGGTGCCTGGGTGGCTCAGTGGTTGAGCGTCTGCCTTTGGCTCAGGTCATGATCCCTGGGTCTTGGAATTGAGTCCCACATCAGGCTCCCTATGGGGAGCCTGCTTCTCCCTCTGCCTATGTCTCTGCCTCTCTTTCTGTGTCTCTCATGAATAAATAAATACAATCTTTTAAAAAAATGTTAACATAAATGAAATTCACTTTTCAAAGATTTATTTTTGGAGCTGGAACTAAAAGAATCATTCCCAAGTCAATTACCAGCATCATTCTACACTTTTTTCTCTATTTTCACCCTTGGGGGAGGAGGAAGAGGTTATATGAGCAATCATAAACATTTACTGAATCTCTGGGTCAGCTTCCATCACTGTTTAACTCTCAGGTCTTATCTTCAGCGGAGAAAGAACAGAGACTCACCAAAAGTTGCTCAGCCCTGAGAGTCCCTGAAAAGTGCTACTCAGGATAGGAAATGTTTCGGTAATGAATTAAACAGTGACTTGTCATGTCAATGTGTGTTTTGAAGTGAAACAGAAAGAAACATGTGCCTTTTGAGAAAAATAGGGCCAGGAGTGTGATTTTTCTAAATGCTCTAAGAGTTGTGGTTTCATGTAACATTTACTTTCAAACTGCCCAGCAAGTGCTGCAGTCCCAGCTTCCTGTCTGGATCTCCCTAAAAAGCCCAGAGCAGCTCTGGCTCTGAACATGCTCTTTTCTGGGGCCAAGAATTTAACACAATTCTCCCTCTTCCAGAGGCCTGACATCTCAGTCTGCAGGAAGGTGGGGAGGGAAGAGAAGATGATGAGCACACCACTGACTGGATCATAGCAGAGAGGGCATATGTCCTCATCTGCCATCTGAAAGCTAGGACTTTAAATCTTTGTCCAGACAAGGACAATGTGAAATCTGTTATCTGGTTCCCTCAGAGTCCCTAAAAGTCTCTGCCAGTTGCTTTGGTTGATGTTTTGAAGCAGTAAGGAAAAAAAAAGTGGGAGGAGGAAGGTGACTATTTCTGCCCAGGATTTTTGCTCTTCTCTAAATATTCAGGTTACTAAATAGGCTATAACAATGATATATTTATTAAGAAGCAGTATAGCACAGGGACTCTGGAATCAGAACTAGATTCCTACCCAGCTCTCTTGTTCAGAGATCTTAAGTAAGTCATTGATGTGAAGATGTACTTTTTTTTTTTTTAGGATTTCACTTACTCAGGAAAGACACAGAGAGAAAGCCCCATGCAGGACTCCATCCCAGGACCCCAGGATCATGGCCTGAGCCAAAGGCAGATGCTCAACTACTGAGCCACCCAGGTGCCCCAAGATGTAGATTTTTCATCCATAAAACAGGGATCCCACTACCAGCCTCATAAGGCTTAAGAGATAATGTATGCAAAGTATTTAGAAGAGTTATTTTTATTGCTATAACTGTAATAAACCAAACTGTTATTCTGTTGTATTCTGATAAGGTTTTCTTTGTGAGATCCCAGGGTAAGGCTACTCACCTACAGGTAGGGGTAGTATCTGAAGGGCTGGACATTTTTTTTATGATTGTATTTTAAGTTGTCTCTACATCCAACGTGGAGCTCAAACTCATCACTCTGAGATCAGGAGTTGCGTGCTCTACCAACTGAACCAGCCAGGTGCCCCAGGCCTGGACATTCTTATTAAGCATGTAGGGAAGGGCTGTAACCTTCTTTAGAAAAACAGAATTAGGCAAACAGAGAAGTAACTGCCTTCCTGTCATTTCCTGGGCCTAGAGTTCAATGAATCTAGATATATTTAAAGCCACTTCTACTTGGGAAGGTTAAAAATGGCAAGGTGGAAACCAGGAAGGGGCACACATAAAGATGCTAATTTCCATCATGTAGACTACGTATGTCCTGCAAGGAGCAGATTCTGGTAGTGCAGGGTGTGTGAGGCCTAGAATCAGCCCACCTCCTGTTGTGTAACTGAAGCACTGTAGAAGCAAACTCGCCCAGTGGGAGCTGAATCTCAGGAAAGAAGTTGGGAGTTTGACCTTCAAGTGTTCCTTCCTACGTGGAAATGGGGGTTTATCTCAAAGTGGATTTCCTTGCGAGGTCTTAAACTTTGAAAGCCTATCGGGTCTCATGAAAACCCCAAGATAGGGAGTTTGGACATTACCATTCCTATTTTTCTCAGTTAATGGGGTTTTTGGTTTTTTAAAGATTTTTTCTTTGAGAGAGCACAGGAGTGGGAGTGGGCAGAGGGAGAGTGAGAAGCAGACTTCCCCCTGAGCAGGGAGCCCAGGACCCTGGGATCATGACCTGAGCTGAAGGCAAGCACTTAACTGACCTGAGCCACCCAGTGCCCCATGAGTTAATGGAGTTTTATTTTTTAAGGGATTTTATTTATTTTAGAGAGAGAGAAAAAGAGAGAGAGAGAGCAGGGAGAATGATAAGTGGACTCACGCTGAGCAAGGAACTCCATGTCAGGCTCAATCTCAAGGACCCTGAGATCAAGACATGAGCCCAAACCAAGAGTCAGGTGCTTAACCAACTGAGCCATCCAGGTGCCTGAGTTAACAGAGTTTCAAAGAGATGAAATAAATGACCTGCCTAGGATCATGTCAGTCCCTGGCAATGCCCATGGAAAACCCAGTTTTTGTTTTTTAAATTATTCCTAGCCCAAGGAGATTTCCATTATCCCCAGAATAGGAGAGGAGATGTGGTTTGAAGATTTTTTGACTATGATTTTGCCTTATACCACTTATCCTTTCTATTTCAGCCACATCTTAGGGTAGCTTAATCATATTCAGAAGAAACATCTTCTGTGTTCCTCACCAGCATGGGACCAGTGCCTGTGTGAACAGATTTAACTCACTATAAATTCAAACACACAAAAGGACATAACCTGTACATATCCATCTGGCCCCACTGAATCATGCATGTCATTGTCTAAAACTATGTCCTTGCTCTTTCAGAATCCATTAGTTTGATTTAGCCCTATGATTGTATAATTTCTGAGTGAGACCAAAAATAATTTTCCAGTTTGGAATTTCGGAAAAACTCATGAAAAGTCACTCTGAGAATCTTAAGTGAAAGACTGCTTGGGTGGCATTCAGTATTACAGAGTTACTCAAAGTCATAGTTCAGAAACAAACTATATTCTAAGGGCAGAAAAATGGTTGTAGTTTGTTGTCCAAAGCAAGCTAATATTTTAAAAGAATTAAAAGTGTAACATAATCAGAGGTCAGTTTTCTACGACCAAAGAAAAGTGGAAAGTCAAGCAGCATAATGCAGATAATTACTCACTGGCAGCGTGGGCCTCTACGTTGTCATTTGTAAAACTACTTTTCTCCCCCCACTTTGTGGAGTTTTCCAGAATAGTGATATACTTTTATGTGTATTCACCTAATTAGCCAATTGAAAAGTATATGTTAATCTCGTAGTGTGTGTCCCAAATTAGGCGAGGTACTATGGGTACATTAAAGATTCATATGCTCAGGCTTCTGTCTTCAAACCCCAGTGGAGGGGAGGGGTTAATTAATATACACTGCTCTTTTACTCACCCCAATGTAGAGGAACAGTGTTGTCTTAAATCTGCTGTAGGCATTCAGAATCATCTAAATGATCAATTCTTAATAAGACGTTGAAAAGACTAACTCCAGTCTTAATTTTAAGAATATATATTATTTCAGATGCAAGAATTGAAAAATTGTAGGCTCTTGGGATCTTACGGACCATTAAAGTGTCTCCTGTCCTCAAGAGCTTTACAAGCAAATGTTACAAAGTCACGGCCAATCAATGGAAGAGGCTCTAGGAGTTCTGGACCACAGAGGAGCCTCAAGGAGTGCGTGACCTTCAAAGAGGTCACTGAGCACCAGGAGGGAGCCGCCGTGCGTCTCAGGGAGGGTGAAGGCTGGGGCCGGCGAGGGGGGAGGGGAGGCATTCCAGAAAAAGGAAACTGCAAACCGCCTCAGAGAAGAGCGAGTGAGAAGTCAACCTGAGTCCAAGGTTGAGGTTTTCCTGCGTTTATTTCAAAGCCCTTCACTATCTCTATGCAAAGAGGCAGTCTTGGAAAACAAACTACTAGACTACAAGGACCATGAAATTTGAATGATGTGAATGCTAATGAGGACTTTCCCCTATTTGGGGTGTCCAGCATTTACTGTAAACAACCGTATTCCTTTTACGTAAGGACCTATCTTCCCACAGAAGCCATTTTGTGATGATTCGATAGTTTCCCATCAATTTCAAAGAGCATGCTGGTCAAAGCACCAAAGGAGTCTCTCCTACAGGAAAAAGTCATTTAATAAAGAAGAGTATGCTTAGCAGGCAGGTGAAGGAAATCATCACATACGAGTACCTTGTACTTTGAAGGCTTCGGCGTCTACAGGGAACAGGTTCACACATTTTCACCCAATGCTATTTAAACCAGGACGCGAAGGCACTTAAAAAAGAAAATCATCCAAGATTAGCTTCGAAATCTTATATTTGGACCGACTCAGAAATCATTTCAAAGAGGAAACATTCTAGTAGAACGAGCTCATCCCGACACCGAGACAAAAATCTAACATCGTGCGACCACAGCAAAATTTCCGACACGCGGAGGCACAACTTCCCCGCGTCGCAACCCCGCGGGGCGGTCACGTCCGACCTCCGGGCCGGGTCACCGGGGTCGCGGTCGGGGTCGGGGCCGGGCGGCACGGCCCCGCTGCCATGGCAACCCCGCCACGCGTGTCCGCGACTGCAGCCCTGGCGACGCCCGTGTGCGCCGCGGCCGCCCCGGGGGGCCGCACAGGTGCCCCCGCTGCGCCCTCGAGCCCGGCTCTCCCGCTGCGTCCCCAGTCCGCGGAGAAAAGCCCGAGCGGCGCCACCTGGTCCCCGCGGGCGGAGCCGGGGCTCAGGGAGGGGGGCGCGCGGCTCTCTCCGACCCCAGGCCCCCGAAGCCCGAGAGGGCCGAGCTCGGGGAGGGGAGGGGCACGGGGGGAGGGCGCGGGGGCGCGCTGGGGAGGGGCGAGGGGACGGGGGCGCGCGCTCCCCCCCCACCCCCCCCGGGGTCTTCAGCCTTCGGGGTCCGAGCCGCCGCCGCCGCCGCCGCCCAAGGCCGGGACTCGCGCGGGGGCCGGAGGCGGCAAGGACGCGGAGACCCAGGGTGACGCCGGGCATCTCCCGGGCGACGGCCCCGCAACAAGATGGCGGACGATAAAGAAAGGGAAGGCACAGGTAGGAGCCGCCCGCCGCGACCCGGGCCCGCACTGGGACGCTCCGGGCTGGGGGGCGGGGGCTGCAGCTGCGCCGGCCCCGCGGGGAGAGGGACGAGCGGGCCCGGGGGCAGGGGGCCGCCAGCCCGGGCGCCCGGAGCCTCCCGGCCGACGCCTGCGCCCGGCCCCGCCCCGTCCCCCCCGCCTCCCCCCGCCTGCCCCTCCCGGCAGCTCCCAGCCGCGGCTCCGGCGGGCGAGGCCGATAATGGCGTCCTTGTTCGCGGCCCCCGGCCCCCGGCCCCCCGCCTCCACAGCCTCGCCTTCCCCGGGGCCGCAGGCGCCACGGAGGCGGCTGCCGGGCTGCGGGCACCCAGGGCGGCAGGGGTGAGGGCCGGCTCCGGCCGCCCGCGTCCGGCCGCCCCTGGGCCCGTGCCGAAGCCCCGCCCGCCGGGCACGCGCCCGTCGCCTCCATTTTGCCTGCTGGGTGCGGACGACGTGTGGGGACGCAGGGGGCCGGGGCGGCCTGGCGCTCGCGGGCGCCCCCTCCGCGCCGCCGGCCCCCGGAGCACGCGCTCGCGGCCGCGTGAGGAGCGCCGGAGGCAGCCGGCTGCGGGCACCCGGCCTTCGGGGGCCGCCGGGGAGCCCTGGCCGCCCACGTGCCCTGCGCCCCCCGCCCCCAGCCTCGGGCCCCGCCTCAGCAGGCTGCGCGCGCACCGGTCGGCGGCGGAGGCGAACCTCGGCCCTGAGGGGCCTTTCGGGAGTGCGGCAAAGGCCGCGTCACGTGTCCCTCGGCTCCGCCTGCGGCGACTGCGTGCTCAGGCCCGGCGGGGCCGCGACCGCAGGAAACCCGCGGAGAAACGGCGGGGCCCGAGCCGGAGGTCGGCCCTGGGTGAGGGGACTGGCGGGGCTGTTAGTCTGTGGCGTCGGGACGGTGTTCTAGACGCGGCCTTCACTGAGGCAGCTTAGTTTATTGTGCTGCTTTAAAACGAAAGGGTACAACCGAAGGAAGGGGTTACTTTTTTTTTTAATTAAAAAAAGACTAATTCTGAAGGTTTTTTTTTTTTTTATTATTTGTTTTTCGTTTTCTAAGTTTTCTCCGCACCCAGTGTGGGGCTCAGACTCTTCCACGGGACATCAGGAGTCACATGCTCTTTGGACAGAACCAGTCAGGCGCCTCTTGAAACCTCATTTTAAAACTTCCCGAGGAAAAAACCAAAAAGACTTCCCTAGAAAAACCAAATGATTTAGTTGTTTTCATTATTTACAAAAAAAAAAAGAAAAAGGAAAAATCGTTAACAGAGGAATTAACTTGTTAATTATGGATATACAGTTTTTTTTTTTTCTCAAAGGTTTTATTTATTCATGAGAGACACACACAGAGAGAGAGAGGCAGAGGGAGAAGCAGGCTCCACGCAGGGAGCCCGATGTGGGACTTGATCCCGAGTCTCCAGGATCAGGCTCTGGGCTGAAGGCGGCGCTAAACCCGGGCTGCCCTGGATATGCCTTTTTTTAAGATTGATTCGGTCAGCATGCAAAAATGCACTGGATCGTGTTGCAAATATAATTTTTTTCTTTCATAAATAGACTGGGCTTCTCTGATTTTTTAGTTTTCAAAAATACTTTTCTAGTTAGAATAAATTCAGAGGAGGAAAGTTCTATTCATAACTGTAGAAGTAATGACAAAAGCTGGATGTCACTCATTCCATTGGCTTACATTTAATGCTTTTATGGAAGGTGTTCTGATTAGGTGAGAATTTTGTTTTTACTTTGAAATTTTTTTTTTATTATTTATTTATGAGAGAGAGTGAGAGAGAGAGAGAGAGAGAGAGAGGCAGGCTCCATGCACCGGGAGCCCGACGTGGGACTCGATCCGGGGTCTCCAGGATCGTGCCCTGGGCCAAAGGCAGGCGCTAAACCGCTGCACCACGCAGGGATCCCCTGATTAGGTGAGAATTTTGAAGGATGCAAAGGTGAAAAATCTATCTTTCAAGAAAGGCGAGATCAGTAAAGGAGGTAAGACATCCTTGAAGGAGACAGAACAGCTAGCTAGGCTGAGCAGCCGTGTGCCAGAGGTGTTTCCAGGTGTGTTACCATCCCTCCTGGTCTGTGCACAGTCATCTGAGCTTCCTGGGGAGCTTATCAGAAATGAAGAACGGGAGTCCTTGCCCCTGACCTGCTGAATCAGTCTGCATTTTATCAGATTTGTAGGTGATCCAGATGCATATTAAAGTTTGAGAAGCACTGTTGGATGGTATATTTTATTTATTTAGAGTTTTAGGAGTTGATTATAGTTGTGAAATAAAGCCATATTGCCTGAGGGTAAATTAGCAACTCATTTGGCAGAATCCTCTTTTGTGGACGTAACTGCATTCTTATATTTGATTCTCAGCTCTGAAGGTTGAGAAATTACACCTAACCGATTGATCAGAATTGATCAAGGCTTTGGGGGTTCACTCACGCTAATTATTAATTCAATAGGGATATGTTGCTACTTTAACAAGAAAGTTGACCCCAGCAATGTAGTATTTTGTTTTACAACTATTAAGCTCTTGGGGAGGGTGAATTTATATTTCAAAAAGTCCTTGATGAGCATGAAATCACACAACAAAAGAGCATAGTTTTGGAGGATATATCCAGTACCCTGTAAACCTCAAAAGGAAGGGGACCATTTTCGTTCTTTAAAAAAAATTTTTTTTTAAAGATTTTATTTATTTATTCATGAGAAACAGAAAGAAGCAGAGACACAGGCAGAGGGAGAAGCAGGGTCCATGCAGGGAGCCCAACGTGGGACTCGATCGGGGGTCTCCAGGATCAGGCCCTGGGCTGAAAGCGGCGCTAAACCCTGAGCCACCCGGACTGCCCTAAAAAATGTTTTCTTTAAATTCAATTTGGTTAACCTATAGCGTATTGTTAGTTTCAGGGGTAGAGTTTAGTGATCCATCAATTGTTTTTAACACCTAGTACTCATTCCATCAGGTGCCCTCTTTAATGCACATCACACAGTTACCCCACCCTCCCACCTCCCTCCCCTCCAGCAACCCTCAGTTTGTTTCCTAGAGTTAAGAGTCTCTTATGGTTTTGCCTCTTTGTTTTTTCTTATTTTTTCTTTCCTTCCCATACGTTCATCTGTTTTATTTTTTAAATTCTTGTGAGTGAAATCATAGAGTGTTTTCCTCTTATTTTTCTTAGCACAATACCCTCTAGTTCTATCCATGTTATACAAATGACAAAATTTCATTCTTTTTGATGGCTGAGTAGTATTCCATTGTGTATAGTGTATATCTACCATATCTTCTTTATCCATTCATCTGTTGATGGACATCTGGACTCTTTCCATAGTTTGGCTGTTGTGGACATTGCTGCTGTAAGGAAGGGGACCATTTTCTGATCTCTTACACTCAGTGTCTTGTGGAGGTGCCCAGCACATGGTAGGAACTCAATATTTATTGAATTTAGAATACTTGAATTAATTAAAGATGTTTGGTTTAGCTAAAACATTACTTGCTGTTTCCTAAAAATCTATTCTATAGCACTGTTAGGTTTTCTCCTTTTCTTTTCTTTTCTTTTCTTTTCTTTTCTTTTCTTTTCTTTTCTTTTCTTTTCTTTTCTTTTCTTTTCTTTTTCTCTTTTCTTTTCTTTTCTTTTCTTTTCTTTTCTTTTCTTTTCTTTTCTTTTCTTTTTCTTTCTTTGTAACCTTATAGGTAAGCAGTGAGTTTCTAGATCAACAAACATCTTTTTTATTTATTTTTTAAAGATTTTATTTATTTGTTCATGGGAGACAGAGAGAGGCAGAAATATAGGCAGAGGGAGAAGCAGGTTCCCCACAGGAAGCCCACGTGGGACTCCATCCCAGGACTCTGGGATTATGACCTGAGCCAAAGGCAGACGCTCAACCACTGAGCCACCCAGGTGCTACCAAACATCTTTTTAAAAACAATTTGTTTGTTTATTAGAGAGAGAAACAAAGAGAAGGAAGAGTGTCAGAGAAATCCAAGCAGATTCCCCACACCAGGCTTGATCTCATGACTCATGAGATCATGACCTCGGCCATCACTGGGGTCAGTCGCTTAATTGAGCCACCCAGGTGTCCCTCAACAAGGTTTTTTTTTTTTTTTTTTAAGATTTTATTTATTTATTTATGAGAGACACAGAGAGGCAGAGACCTAGGCAGAGGGAGAAGCAGGCCCCTTGCAGGGAGCCGGATGCAGGACTCAGTCCCTGGACTGGGATCACACCCTGAGTTGAAGGCAGATACTCAATCCCTGAGCCACCCAGGTGTCCCTCAAGAAGCATTTTTTGAGAGCCAAAGTATTCACTGGCCTGTCTTTAAAAAAAAATACAAAAATTTTCTTCGTAGAAACATACATATATTTTAAATAGTTGATCTTTAATCTTGAGGTTTTTTTTTTTTTTTAATTGTAAAGGAAGATTAAGCTTCTGGATTTATATCCTATCTAGCTCAACCATTTAGGGATTAATCTTGATAAAAGTACTGATGCGAACATTGGTAACAAAAAAAAATTTTTTTAAAGATTTTATTTATTCATTAGAGCATGCATGTACACATGCAAGCAGGGAGAGGTGCAGAGGGAGAGGAGAAGCAGGCTCCCCCCTGAGTAGGGAGCCCAGTCCCAAGATCCCTGAGGTCACAACCTGAGCTGAAGGCAGACGCTTAACTGACTGAGCCACCCAGGCACCCCATTGGTAATAAATAATAACTATGACAGGCTATAATGTTCTATTTTATTATAACATTTTTCTATAAGATTATATACATTGAAGTTCTATTCCTTTGGAGCATTTTTGTGCTTTAACATAATTAACTTTTTTCCTAGATTAAAATATGTATATAGTTACATTAGCTAACAAAGGAATTTAAATTTTAAAGTGAAGTTAATTTAAAAAAAAACAATTTTGTTTCACTGAAAGAATATTTGAAATAGGATAGCAAAAATTGTTTTAAAGTTCTATTATTTCTCTCAAGTTTTCTCAGCCAGAACATTTTTTTTTCTTTTCCTTCTG